GGTTTGATGTTGACAGTGTAAGAAAGTGTCAAAATGAACTTTATATGAAAAGCTAAAGAAACTGATGAATAAAATGTGAGAGTTTTACTCACAAATTTGTGTGTTTATAAGAAAGAAAATACTGTAATTTTTCTGTATGACTTACTTAAAATTACTTTTAAAGGCCTTGCGGAATCTGTCTTTGAAGACAAGTTGAACAGTTTTGATAACTGTGGATTTTTTATTCAAAATTTTATCTTTTTAAATAGATTTGTAATAATACCAGCAGAATATCTTGTTGCTATTAATTACTGTGAACTTTATGCATTTTCCCTGTTTCTGTTAGATACTATCTACCTGTCTCTTACAGAAATCACTCAAGTAATAGAATTTTAAACAATTTCACTTTCTGTGCAAGTGACTTAGAGTAAGAGAGTGTATGCATACATGTATGCACAGGTGGGTAAATGTGTTTCTGTGTGGATATGCCACAGTTGGGCAACCACATAAAATGCTGCAGTTTACTTGTAAACAAAGGCATTTACATACTTTGTGAAGAGTTAAACCAGTTAACCTACAGACACTTTTTACTTTACAATTTTCTTTATTTCATAAGATTTTTGAGCAATTTTTGCATGTAAATTCCATGCTTGCCAGCTACTTAGAAAAGCCAGACTTGTTGCATATTAACAGTGAAGCTAAAAATAAAGAAATGCAGCACGGTTTCCATGGGACAGGTATAGAATAGATCCCAGAGCCAGCATCCAAAATCTTTAGAGGCTCCCATGAAGACCTAGTGGATCCATTTGAAACCAGTCCTAAATATTACAGATTTCTCCAGGTTGGATATATATGTTGCCATGACTCAATGCAAATTCCACCAAAACAAGTCTGCATTGTGATAGAGATTTGTCTAACCTCTGTTATTACCTTAGATTTGTCTTTCAACTAGTTATTTCAATATTAGCCAATTCAGGTGTTTAGTTAATACAGAATCACAGGATCACAAAATGGCTGGAGTTAGAAAGGACCTCAGGAGGTCATCTTGTCCAACCCCCCCTTTTCAGGCAGGGCCACCTAGAGCCACTCGCCCAGGACCACGCCTAGACAGCTTTTGAATATCTCCAAGGATGAAGACTCCAACTTGTGCCAGTGCTCAGTCACCCTCACAGTGGAAAAGTGTGTCCTGAAGTTCTGATGGAACCTCCTGTGTTTCAGTGTGTGCCCATTGCCTCTTGTTCTGTCACTGGACACCACTGAAAAGAGCCTGGCTCCATCCTCTTTGCACCCTGCATTCAGATATTTATACACATTGGTAGGTTCACCTCTACCCTTCTTTTCTCCAGGCGGAACAGTCCCAGCCCTCTCACCCTTTCTTCATATGAGAGATGTCCCTGAATCAGCTTCATGATCCTTTGCTGGACTGTCTCCAGTAGCTCCATATCACTTTTGTACTGGGGAGCTCAGAACAGGACACAGCACTCCAAGTGTGGCCTTACCAGTGCAGAGTAGAGGGGAAGGATGACCTCCCTCAACACGTTAGCAACACTCCTGCTAATGCCACCCAGGATATTAGTGGCCTTATTTGCTGCAAGGTTACATTGTTGGCTCATGTTCAATTTCGTGTCCACCGGGACCTCCAGGTCCTTTTCTGAAAAGCTGCTTTCCAGGTGGGTGAACCCCAACATATAGTGGTGCATGGGGTTATTCCTCCTCAGGTGAAGGTATTTGCACTTCCCCTTATTGGACTTCATAAAGTCAGCCCATTTCTCCAGCCTGTTGAGGCCCCTCTGGATGGCAGCATGACCCTCTAGTGTATCAGCCACTCCTCCCAGTTTTGTGTCATCAGCAAACTTGCTGAGGGTACACTCTGCCTCATCATCCAGGTCATTAATGAGGATGTTAAACAGGATCAGACCCAGTATTGAGCCCTTGGGTACACCACTTATTACTGGCCTCCAGCTAGACTTTATGCTGCTGATCACCACCATCACAGTCCTGGTTGTTCAGCCAGTTCCCAGTCTACCTCACTCTCTGCTCATCCACTGCATTTTTTTACTGGTTAAGGAAATTACATATTATCACCATTTTCTCCTTCTGTTTCTCATTCTGCTTGTTTGCCAGTAACTCTAAATAACCTGGCACAGATTTTTGCATCTCACAAGAAGTTTCAAATGCAATTCTGTGCTTCACAGAGACTTTACAGAAAAGCTTATAGCAATTAAACATTGCAGGATTCTATTATTTGTGGAATAAGTTGTAATATATCACCAAAGGAAATTTCTGGATAACCTTTATTTTGTTGGTTTGGGTTGGTTTTAAAAGAGACATTCAATGCTTCAGGAAAGAGCCACAGAGCTTCTTTTGGATGCAAGGTCTTCCATTTATATAACCTTTACACATTTTCACATTTCTTATGAAAATTCCTGGTTTTGTCTTTACATACTTCATTTCCCCATTAAGGAGATCTCCATAAGAAATTTACATGTATTGCATTCCCTTCAAGGCCTATTGCCTCCTATTTCTCTCTCTTATTATAGGTGACCAATCTTATTTTTCACAGCACAATTTTCCTGTCTTGGGAGGTTTTCCTAATGGGAACATGATTTTCTTCAGGACTATGTGTCTATCGGAAGATCTAGCCAGTCAGTGTTTAGATATCATTAAAAGGGTTCTGACTCAGCCAGACTGATAATAACAATTTGACTGAATTACATACAGAAGAGCTGCTAAAGTATAATCTGTTTAATGGTAGACTATTTAAAAACCAAACATTTTCTGGGTAAATATGCTTAAACATGGTTGAATTTTCAACATCTCTGGTAATACCTTATTTACAGATTGTTGTTTTTATTATAATAATATCGGTATACTATTAATATTTAATGAAGTGTATCACCTCAGGTGTCGTAGATTTTATTTCACTATCACTCCTGAGATGTTGAAAGGTTGCAAAAAGTTTATTTTTAAAAAACTGAGCAAGATCTACCATATTTCTAGAATTTTAACAGATTGTGCACTTCTATGTGCATTGCTACTGATGTTACTGTATTGTTAACAAACGAGAGCTTACTTTCAGAATTGTTTTGTGGGTCAAACTGCATGGTCTCAGTTACACTTCAGACTGGATTCTGGCTACTAGCACTCCTTTATATGAAAACTCCTTCATATGGGAGAAATCCTGTCAGGACCTTTTTCTCCTTCTTTCTTCCTCTGTACTTTGTCAAAGTGGTGGAGTGCTTTCAGTAAATCAGAGTGATCCTTGCAAACTCAGCAAAAAGAAGAAATGTAATGGTTACACTAGGCACGGTTTGGATGTTAATTTGAACCAGTAGTCAAAGTAGGTTTTCTTTAAGTATCTTGCTTTCAGCACTAGATATCAATGCCTGAGTACATTAACTGAAATCTTTAATTACATTTATTGCTGTTGCTTATCATATCTATCTACTGATCTATAAAACTGCTCAACAATTAATGCTAAATGCCTACTCAGTTATTTTGCAGTCCCTTAAGTTCATGAGTATTTATTCACGATTTATATTGTACAACTGTAAAAGATAACTGGGAAGAACAATAGCAGCCAGGTTATAGAGGGACAGTTTTAAAAAGTGATTTTACAACTCCAATTTTTGAAGTCAACACATTCTGACTGTTCAGGTTAAAATGGCTGATCTTGCTCATAGCGGACTAGACTTTTTCAGGGTATTATTTGGTCATGATCCTTACTGTCCTGACTCGACTAAGGCTAGAGGAGAAAAGCAGTTTTAGTGGTGGGTTGGGTTTTTGTGGGTTGGGTTTTTTTCACTTGATACCTTTCCTACTTCCAAACTTTCTCTTAATTTTTTTTATTTATAGCTTTTTCTACACTGACCCAATCCTGAAACAATAAGATCAGTTCTATGAGTAGACTACATGGCTCAAACTCTACCTTGGTTTTCCTCTTGTGCAATCCTTTTGAGGCTTAAGCACTATGTATGTGACTCAGGAGAAGCTTAATGCAGAGTGTTTGTATATAAGTGTTTAACTGATTTCAGAAGACCAGATCCTATCAACTTTCCAGCAAAAAAGTAAAGGCCAGTGGATTTCTTTCTTTCTTTGTTTTTTTTTTTTTTTTCTCCTGAAAATGAGAAAAACAGTGCAGAACATTCATTTTAGTTAGAAAAGCAGTGCAAGTGATAAAAACCTCCCAGAAAAGACCAACCTATTCTGAAGAAATCATCTTCTCTTGAAAACTTTAGCTTCTTTCACATTTCGGGTTTTGGACAGTATCTTCAAACTGGGCCAAATTTTGTGAAATGATGATTTGTCTATGGATAGTTATCTATTGAAGCATAGGTCTAAGACCAAACTAATTTCATCTATGGTTATATCTGGCTATAAAAGCATGATACAAAGCATCTCAGACAGTAAATATAATCATGTTTATCTGATTGAAAATAGCACACGTATTAGATTTATTACCTTGTTAGCACAATGAATTCCATGGTAAATCCTTATGGTATTTATTCCATGAAGACCAAATGGATGCTTCTGACAAAGAAAGTGTCTCCTCTTTGTCAGTAGGGATGGCAGAGTATTCATAAACACACAATGAAGTTTAGATTTCTCTAGTTAAGTTGAGTGTTACACTGCAAAATGCAAAATAGGCAAAAGGATTCTGAATGGATCTGTAAATATATCTTCTTTCATTAGACTGATGTATTAAAATATCATGGGGTTAGCTGTGTGATGTTCTTGCTTGCTAGTGTATGCAGAAATATTTTGAATTCACTCTTCTGAAAGACACAGAAAAGCAGGATTTCATAAAGCAGGATTTCGTAACAGAAAAAAAAGAACTTGGTATGATAGTATAAATAATTTCTGCATTAATAATTAGTGTGTTGCCATACTTTTGAAACATTTCTCATTTCCAAGAAATATATATATAATTATATCACTGAAGTGCATTGTCAAATTTTAGCACATTGACAGTATAGCCAAGATATTGAACAAAACTGATTTTCTCTTTCTCAATTTTTAAGATCCAGATTTTAAGGACCTTGGTGTTCTGAAACCGTTGCCAGGTTGGTATGCTGTTTTGTTGTTGTGTTTTTTTTTTAAGTTGGAGGCCTTTGTACTCTGCTGTAGCAAATATTTTTGTTTGCTGTTCAGGTTTCATTTTTTCTGGTATTTTCTTATTCAGTTTGTGAGTTTGAGATGGGAGGACCTGAAGGAATTGTGGAATCTGTACAAATTGTCAAAGAAGGAAAAGCTTCTGAAACTGAAGCAGTAGACTGTAAATGGTACATCCGAGCACCACCCCGATCCAAGGTCAGTCCTTCATCCAGTTGCTGATTTGCCATTTAATTTAAGAAATTGCCTTTTCTAATATGCTGTGCATTTCTTAGTACAGTCAGATCTTGTTTAATAACTTTACAGCTTGAACTTGTAAACTATTTTTTTCCTTCTGCCGTGGAAGGGTAATTTGTCACCTCAGCCAGAATAACCTTCTTTCTCTATAAATAATGATGTGGGCAGTGTTAATGTGCTTTTTGTGCCATAAGTAATTTTCCTAAATTAATCTTTAATTTTTCTAATAATTTTAAAAAATCAATGTGTTTTCTTAAGCAGGAGGTAATCTTATCACTTTAATTTTCAATATATTTCAAATACCTAATATAGAGACTAACAAGGGAACACTGCTGGCTCCCTAAGGTCATCATTGTTTCTCATCTGGACACTGTGAAAATGGAGCCAAGGTAAATTCACGTTCCTCTGTATAAGACCTTTAGTTCCTTTGGTTTAGAGCCACAGACAAAAAGAGATAGTGTTTTCATTTCTCTCCCACCACAATCAGCAAGCCATGCCTTTGTAACAAACAGGAGAGGGCTGCAATGAATTTAACAGTTCTTTTCTTGGATTCTGTTTGAGTTCCTCTCTTATCCATGGCTTATCAGTTATTATATGGATTATTTTTTGCTGGCTACACTACCATTTCTCCTCTCTTTGCAATTGGAACAGCTTTGTGCCTCCCACCTACTTTCATTCACTGTGTGAAAGACAACTCCACATTATATTTTTTCCAGCTGTCTTTTATTGGACAGGAAAGGTTTTACAAGGTAGAATTTATATATCCACTAATCTCTGCCATCTTTAAACAGATAAGGGCTTTTTTGTATAATCTCAGAGCAGACTGTACTGAATATATCTAACTGTTCCAGCATTTGGTATTGAATAAGCAGGAGGAAGGGTTTCCAGAAGAGAAAGTCATTATTATCAGCGTTTTTCTATTGTGAAAGTTTAGGAGAGGAGTTGAATAGTTGGCTCATAAAGACTGCAGATAAATTATTTCCAGAATATACTTTAATCTCATGCATTTTTTTACTTTTGGATAAATTCAGTATTCATAGATGCTCTCAATTAAGAAGATGAGCTTCCCACTTTACTACAGTAAGTAGCTATAGACATGAAATGACGGGGCCAATGAATGATTATTGCATATGTTATATACTTACCTATTAGTAGAAAGAAAACAGGTAAACACAAAATTACAGTTGTGTTTATTAGAATCAGCACAACTAAATAAACCAATAAAATTTTCCTATAGACTTAATTTCAGTTTATGCTTGATTGGTCAGATAGCGTCATTGTGATATTCTTACTTGATCTATCTCTAAAGTTCTGTATGATTCCATATTTACTTATCTGTAGGATTTATCCACACTTCAGGCCTGATGTAAAAATACAAATTGTGTAGCTACATAACCATAAACACAGTGTGTAACAGAAGAATGCCACACTACCACTGTTAACAGAGGATTAAGGATTGTTTAGTTCTTCATGATTGTTTAGTTCTTCTATACCTGCACTTAGTTGTGTTGCATTTCAAAAAGTGTATGCCAGCTGAAGAGCATCTGGAAGGGAGAGCGATGAGAGAGTTCTAGAAAACCTGAGGAAACACTGGAAGTTATTAAATGTCATCTAGAAGATTTTGTGAAGGAGCATGATAGCAGAAAATAAAAGGATTTTATAACGAGGAAGGAATGCTCTTATGCCCGTTTCTATAGTATAAGTCATGGTCCTGCACTCTGAAAGAAAGATTCAGGTTAGATACTAGCGAAGAAAATTTCAAACAGCAGGGAGGGGATTATGAATGATTGATTAAGAAAGTTTGTTCAGCCAGCATTGCTAGTGGTCTTAAAGTGCAGGTTAGGTAACAACCTATGGAAAATGAGAGAAACCTTACTAATCCTACCTTTAGGCTGGGTCATCTCTTGATGAATCTTGTTGCTCCCATCTTACAGAATTCTCTGGATAGAGAGATAGGACAATATAAAAGCATATAAATCAGTGTTTCCTAACATGTGGAGTTGAAAACTTTATCAGCAAACTAGGAAAAAAAACACTTTTCAAGCCCAGATTCATCCTATAGGGGTAAGTCCAATTTAGCATTTGAACTTTCTTAGTATGGTTTTCACACATATATATATATACACACAAATATATATGTGTATGTATACACACACGTACATACACCTATGGTTATGGTATCGCCATACTGGGACAGGTTGAAAAATTTTAAGATATTAAGGAAGAAGTTAGTGGATAAGATTTTAAAAAATCTTGTATGAAGTAAGATTTATGGTAAGATTGTTTATGGGCCTGATTCAATTGTACTGGATTCTATTGTCTATATTTTACAGTCAGCTTCCTTTGTGCTTATCTAACCTTGAACTAATGACATATTCAGTACAATAATTCAGGGACATCATTCTAATTTATGGCAGCTTGCACCTATGAAAACAGGCTCTCCTGCTAAGAACAGTAAGAACCCAGCAGACGTCTTTAAATCCACATGTTCCTGTACTCTGGGCTGCACAGTTTGTTACTGGGAACTATGCCTAAAAGGCCCGAGTTTCTCAGACAGAGTTTGGGTTGGATCTTTACATCTTTAGTTTCTTAATTAAACTGTGCCAGAATGTGGGCTGCTTGCAATTTCATTTGGCTTAAGCTCATCCAATCTAAACTGTCTGCAGAAGCAAGTCCTTTCCTTGGTTTGTATTTCCAGATTCAAGCCAAGTCTGAGCTCAACGTATGAGCAATAAGATCAGTCAGGGAGTATGAACTTAAGATCTCTAAGCCTGAGCTTCAAACTGACAGTCTGGGTGTAACGCTGCTGCTATCCTCAGCAAGATGGAATGGGACAGAGAACTGCAAATTTTTTTCCACACCCTTAAAATAGATCTATCGCTGATTACCTTGTAACACAAAAAATAAAATGCTGAAAATGCATGGAGAACTGAAACTTTCTGGAAGTGCAGAAGACAGCAGAAGGAAGTTTAAACACAACTTCAATCTATAGGCAGACCTAGAGCCTTATATTTCACAGTGACTGGTTGCAAAGTGTGTGTTTCTTGTAATCACTCGAAGTCAGTTCCTGCT